TATAACATTATTATATAATAAAATTGAGAAAAGTCCCTTTTAAGGTGTTATTACTGGCACTCAAAATATCTCATTATACTTCAAATTTTTATATTTTGAAAGGAAAAAAAAAAATTACACTTATAAGGAATACATGATGAGATTTTAAAATGATAACAAAAACAATTTTTAAATATAGAACATTATTACATAACAAAAGCAATTTTAGAATATAAAACATTAATACATATAAATATTAGATGAAAAAAATTTAGGGATCCTTCCAAATTTTAAGATCATGTGCGACTGCACCTTTTACTCTCCCTCAACGCCCCCTCTAATAATTACAACAGCTATACAGCCACCACTAGACAAAATACACAAATCTCCCAAGCTGCGCAAACTTGCCAAGCGGAGCATCGTAAAACACTAAAAACTATACCTAAACTAAAAAGGAAACCACCAGTCAACTCGTCTCCACGCACATGTAATGTTCAAAATTGACTAAAAATAGAAATCAAAACTTCAACAATATTCCATGAAATGATTTTCTTATGCACGTGAAAGTCAAAGTTCCAATATGATGTGCTATTTCCTGTAGAATTAGATCATCTCTGGATTTTTTTACTGTGAATCTTGAGGATTAATTAATACCAACCATTCATAAAAAATCATGTAACTACAGTTTTTTCTTTTTTATATTTCTCACACAAAACGAATTTGCCTTATTGTTAGAAAAAAAAAAAAAAAAAAATTTGGAGCCTCACGATTTTTGATCAATGGTTGGTATTAATTAATCTCCGGAATCCCCAGTAAGAAGATGAGGATCCAATTCCATATCCACAGCTCTTTAGTAATTGGAGTTTTGTATCATTGTTTATTTGTCTCCTTATCTGTCTAAATTGGAAGTTTCCCCTTGAACTCTTATGAAAATACAAATTATTAACATGGACACCTCTCAAGGCTCATAGTTTCTCTCGGCTGTGACTTGTGAGAAGATCTCGTAGCAATTTTGCGGTCTACCCAAAACGCAATTATGTAACATTATTATGTCATTCAAATTATAACACATAGAACATATTTAATGAGAAATGATAAGAAGACTCTTAAAGTGCGATATTGACTCTCTATCACCTCACAGTTTAACTTTAATTATCGTGTCAACACTAAAAAATATTATGTACAAAACATGAAGTGATAGAGAGATCATCGAGAGTTCCACTTCTGAAAGAATCTCCTTAGCATATCTCTTATTTTATTTACATAAATAAAACATATTAACTTTATCGTTCACTCTTATTAAAAACACATAAAATAATGCATTGTGACATGTGTTTCTAATACACATAATAATATATTCGGAAGAACTTGAGCCTTGTTAGGAAGAAAATTCCGAAAGTGCTTTTGGGAAAAGAGGGTATTGGGCTGCTGAGTAGAAATTTATGGCATGTTTACATATGGGGAAAGGAAATGGCAGAATGGGAGTCATTCCCCATTCATGATTATTCCTCTGTTTACCAATTCGACCGGAATGCACATTGTTGCAGGACCCATGTAAAATCAAGAGTTCAATTCATGATATTGACGGAATTGGATTACTTACACGGAGGTAGTATTTGGATTCCGGGGAGAAGGGGTCATCCGGAATCAAAACTTTCTTCCCAAAGCACCCTTCACCTTCAGCATTCCCTTCCATCTTCTCGTTGTCCTCCGCCATCCTCTCCAACAGCTCTGTGCTCCTCCGATGCCGCCTCTCTGCGCCCCATGCATTGCCATGTCGAACTCTTTTGATTTGGGGCTAGGTTGCCGATTCTAATTCCAAGGACTGCAAATTCAGACTCTCGTTAGAATTTATAAGGGATAAGGATTGCAATTGGGCATCCTTAAAACACTTGAAAGATCAACCATTCAACAACATATTAGCTTGAATCATTACACAGAGCCGCATAGGGAAGGTCATGGCAGAGCATAATCAAATCAACCAAAAATAAAAATTTACCTAGAAGGCTTACCTTGAATCCTTGATGGTGAGGTAGGGAGGGAGAGCAAAGAATGGTCGGAGTCTTAGGGAGGGTAGTCGCGGTCGAGCGTGAGTGAAAGGGTGAGGAGGAGGCGTTTTGTCAGCATATCAGAGAACGAAAAGGACTAACCATATTGGATTTAAAAGGACTTAAAAAGCCCTTCTCACATAAATTAAAAATAAAATATTTTTTTTAATTAAAGATAAAAAAAGATTAGCATATAATATAGATTATTTAGAATAGGGGCATTTTAGTAATGACATTAGTTTTCATTCGGATTCATAACAATTAGTAAACAACTTATATGGACTCAACATCATTTCTACTTCGTTTCCAGACAGATTTAGTAAACAACTTCAATAGGAATTTGATTCTGATTTCACCTCATTTCAATTCCTCCTCAATCCAATTCCTCCTCAATTTGATTACGGATTAGTAAACGCGTCCTTAATTGCAATTTTGAACATGATTGGGGGACCAAAAGCATTGTCGCATCAGTCCCACTAGATTCTGTCATACAAGCTTTTGATGTGAAGCCTTTTTCTCCATCTATATCTTCAGCTTTTGATAATAAAGCTCCAAAAGTTGATGGGGTTAATTAAGTTTTTTTTTTCTTTTTTGGTTAATCATCTTAGATTCTTAATGCTTTATTACTTGATTAAGGCATGCACTTTAAAAAGGATAACAGCTCAAGCTCAATCATGTTAATGTTTCTCTTGCTAAACCATGATTAATTTGGAGCATCGATCAAGTTTAATATCTTCTATGTGTTATCACATTACTAAGGAACTACCAACATCATAAGCATATAAAGGAATGAATACTTCTTTGCTTCAATCTCTAGGTTGACAAACACTTGTGCTGTATGAATAACTTTCCGAAATAATGCAAACATACATACTACTTCATAGATGGGTTTCCATTTTAACGGGAAGTATGATTTCCCGTCACGCACCATACAACTAGTCGTCTAATTGTCTCACATCCCCCTAACATAATCTTGTTTAAGTAGGAAGTTTTTTTTGTTTTTGTTTTTATTTTTTATGTTTTTCTTTTTCTTCTGTAAAGGAAGCATATTAGTTAAAGCTAGCAAAAATGAAAAGGAGCAGATGCTTGAAAATACCTTGTAGTCCGGCCCAATATCAAACTTGGAGAGCCAATAACATAATTTTTCCTTCATTCATTATTCACCAAAAATTTTGAAATCTAGAAACTAATTTTCAACAGTTAGATTTTAGAATTTTGGATTTTCCGACATTAATCTTGTAGCCTTGTTGAGAAGCTAGACATCAACTTTCAATTGGCATCAACGAGGGAGGAGAAGACAATGCATAACACATTATGGCACTCAAGTTAGTGTTTGTTCGTTATGCTTGTAAAGAAAAAAATGCAGAATAATATCATGTACTTCTTTTTTGACCCATGTGTTGGTGGGATTCTAGTTCTTTTCTAACACTATCTGTGCATTGGCGTCTACCACTTTGTGGCAATTTTGTACTGGGGTGCTTGTGCTAGTATGGAGGTACTTGTGCTTGTGGTAGTCGTTAGGAATTTTATTGTTATACTTATTTGTACAGATTATCACTAGATCAATATTTGGTCACTAAGGAATATACTCATACAAAAACCTTTGTAACTACACTATCGTGTGTTTATAATTGCGTTCTTATTTGTTAATAAAAATTACTATTAGTTCTCATTGTTAAAAAAAATTGGGCTCCAAGTCGCATTATCTCGTCTTTCTCCTATGTTTCATGGGAGTGTATGCTCGTTGATTATAGATACACTCCCCCAAATGCATCTAAATTTGAATTCTCATTCTCATAATTTAAAAAAAAAAAAAAAAAAAACCTAAAATATCGCTGGAATTAAAAATAAAAATAAAATAAAAGATAGGGAGTAGAGACCTTCATTTGTAGTCGATTATTTTGACTTGCACCGGGTCCTTCGGGCAAGAACTTTAGGTCCTTGGGCTTAGAACTTTTTCTTGTCATGAAATGGGCCTTAGCCTGTTAACGGATTTACCCAATTTACCAATCAGTCCACTTACCAAAAACAGAATGCTTACAAAAATGAACCCATTTTTAGACAAAATAAGGTTATAGCCCACACGTAATAATTTCATATCATAGGAACCCCTTGAGTAATAAATCAACTTTAGACAGGTTGTTCATTATGTGTGTCCTGTCCGACCACTTCAACTTAATAATAATTAAGGAAAATTAATGAAAATAACTTTAAAACTTTGAGTTTTAACGATAATGACAAAATAAAGGGTAAAGTGAATAGTACCAGGATTGACTTTTTAGTGTAAAAATGTGGGTTTTCGTTAAAATAAACAATACCGGAAATTTTTCGTTAAAGTTCCATAATAATTATCATGTGCAAATTATATGATATTTTTTTATAAACGTGAAAGTAAAAGGGATGAAAAATTAATTAAAATTATATGCGACAAGGAACTATTGAATGACATAATAGTGAGGAGGGGTCGTGACTTCATTGCCCATCGCATATTATCATGGACGGAGAATTAATTTGTTCATGAAAAAATTCATTTAACTCCCCATGCATGCAAATTGGGGTTGACGCTTCAAAACAAAGGAGCTTTCCAACAGAATACCGACGTTGTTTTTGTTAGGGTCCCAAGGTGTAATATGCTTATAGTACAAGAACGATGACTTGATCATATAAAGTGTTGGTATACTTAGTTGCATACTCGTGAAATGAACGAAGAATATTCAGGATTATGAGTCTATATTCAAGAATGAGAGGTCGATCATATTTTTGAACTTATACATTCTAACATATTGTTGTGTTAATTAAGGGCTGGTGTTTGCGTTGTAGACTTGTGAAAGGAACAAAACATATTCAAATAATCACACTGAAGAGTTTGAACACATTTTTTGAACGTCTACATATAATATATTGTCATATTACGAATAAACGTCCAACTGCAAACAAATGTTCAGTTGATTGTCTAAACATTTCAGCATTTGTGTGAGACAAAGATATGGAGAATTAAACAGGAAATCCGAAAGGATCGGGGAAAAGGAAAATGAAAAGAATAGAAATCTTGAGAAGATAGAAGAAAGAAACTCTAAGTAAACATCCCTCTCAACATTTGGCACTTAATTTTGATGTACCCCACTACCAGACAAAAAACAACCTAAAAATCTTAGGCGTGGCAATCCTAAGTGGGGTGCATTACATCGTGCTAACTAATACGCGATGCTTCCACGTCGTCTCTACTGCCTATCCCCACAACTCCCACATTCGATACCTTCTTTCTCCTCGTACCTCCACCGTACAATCGCTCTAAATTTTTCCGCTAAATTTCTAATTAAATTTAGAAGAAAAACCCCACTTAATTACGATTTAATCCTACTTATTATTATTTTTCTTACTCCGACGATCGACGAACGTTTGGTACACGACGTTACCGGAGGCGGGAAACTCGTCCACGGAGCAACTCCGGCACTTCAGTCCAAGCGGCTCCAATGCCCCCGCGACACGCATCCACACCTCGTGGCTCGCACACGTGGTCGATACCGACATCGTCGCCGGCCTGAAGATTTGGACGACCTTCTTCAGCACCCGAACAACGTCGTCTCGATCGTCGTAGACCGATCCCACGCACTCGAAGCTCGCGTAGCTGTAGCCGTCTTCCGGGGTGACGTGGATGGTGGAGTGGCGGTTCCCGTAGATACCGTTCATGGAGTACCCGCAGGGGTCGAATGCGAAATCGCAGATCAGAGCACGAGGGTTAATTCCGGATATTCCAGTGAGCGCAGTCATTTCTTTGCCGGCGGAGTCACCGTCGTATTCGGTGCCGGGACGGAGGAAGAAATTGCGGGCGAGGTCGCGGTCGAGCTCGGTCATGCAGATTTCGAGTGTGAACAGTCCGCCGTCGCTGTCGTCTTCTCCAAAAGCACATTTCGTGTTTTCTGTGGATGCGGAGAACACGTGCCATGCATGTGAGGGGGTTTTGGAGGGCATGACGTTTGCCTTGCGGTAGCAGAGACTGTCGGGAAGAGATTCCTCCAAATAAACGACCTCGTTTTGGAAGTTGGTGTAGGGAAAAGGCTGGGCATTGGGGAAGATAAAGTTACCGCGGGTGTAGCGGCAGAAGACGAGGGTGAGGCCGAGATCTAGCGACGCATGGCGGAGAAGTGGAGGGATAGATTTGAGGAGCTGGGTGGTCCCACAGGTCTTGATGATGATCTTGGTAGGGTAGACGAAGAGGCTGGACTCGGATAACACGTAGGCGTCGAAGTAGTGATTGGCTACGGCCGAGACCACAGTGCATTGTACGGCATGTAGGACATGTTGCAAGGACTCGAAGTCAAGGAGGCGAAGACCAAGACCGAACGACGACCCTACATTTTTACGGTCGTCCCCAGAGAAGTGCAGCTCCAAACGCTTCTCGAACCCTTCAAAACCAGAAACCGCCATTTGGGTTGTTTAGGTTTAGGTCACACGCAAATTGTAGGGTAAACCCTAGTAAGATAGCAAACAAGTGCCCTGAAAGAGGAGCAGAAATCAACAAGTTCCAAATGAAAGAATGGGTAGGAAGAGATGGAGAGAAAGAAATGAGTTATGAGAGAGAGGGAGAGAGAGAGGTTGTGAGGAGGAATGTGGAGATGAGAGAGAGATGGTGGGGTGTGTGGAATTTATAGGTAGGAGAGAGAGAGACAGAGAGAGAGAGAGAGAGAGAGAGAGAGAGAGAAGAGGAGGAGGAGGAGGAGAAGGGGCATGCTGGTGTGGCAACCAAGAATCATGATTGCAGGCATATATAATGAAGTGAATAAGGATGATGATATGTATATTGAAATTTGCTTACGATTTTTATTTTTTTGTGAGCAAAATCTTTTCCTTTCAGAAGAGCAGAGAGAGACAGAGAGACTGATGTGCAAGCAGCGGAATTTATGTCCACGCGTATAATTTGTACCGGAACCCTGCACTTGTCTCCACTTACTTCCAGTCGGCAGACAGTCACTGTTCTCTCAGAACAAATGCATATTGCCAATTAGTGATTTGTTACCACTTAATTAATATCAATTTGATTAAGATGAAAAACATATTCGACCTATTTAATAGGTTCAAATGTAAATCTTGAAATGGCACAAATAATGTTATGTTTACACAGTTTTAATAACGCATAATAGTTAACGAATTCAATCATGCAACAACTCGATAAACATACATTTAAAAAAAACAATTTTGAGTTTTCTGAAGTTTTTTATTTGAAATCATAGTATGTATTTCGAAGAAAACGTCGAGACGGTCAAAATTTATTGTTTGCTATTAGGGCATTTTAAGGGTTTCGAGGTCATTTGCATGAGTTTGGTAGAAATATTAATAAACTTTTAGAGGTTGCATTTGAACTTAATTTGAGAATTTTCCCGTCTCTTGTGGATTCCGGACTGTGTTATAAGGTGTAACACTGGTTAACAGATATTATTACGATCGTTGCTTGCTTTAATTAACAAGTTTAATTTGCATGGTATAAGTTGTGCTAAATTGCATATATAATTTCATTTCATGTTTCTCTTGTTGTCTAAAAAATAAGCAGAAAAACAGGGGAGGTCCTTGACTGATTGATGTTGGACCAAGAAACAAACATCATCAGTAGGCCTAGTAACTAATTTAAAAATTAAAAAAAAATGGATAAAGTTAACCCTAGCTGCCAGAGAGAAGAAAACCTAAGAAAAAACCTGTCGAAGCCTTTGGTCTTGGGATCGGCGGCATTTCTTCTTACTTGATCCCTTCTCTTTCTTTTCTTGTTTTCAATAGAGTCGGTATCTCGCTTTGTTGAGGAGAACTTTTGTAGTTGTGGTCATTCTTTTTCATGAGGAGGAGAGTCTTTGTAGCGGTTATGACTTACTACTCAACTCCGAATCTTAGAGCGAAAATTACGTTGTGTGTCTTGACGGTATTAGGTCTAGCTCGCAGAGTTTAGGCTTTGCGAGCATATCATTCTTGTTGGTTAGGTGTGGTTCTTCCGTTCTTGAGGAATCGTATCTCTAAAGAGTTTATTTTGCGTTGTGTTATTTTTTTGTTTTGTTTTGGTTGTGGTTTCGTTATTTGTTCGCCAGGCAAGGACTATGAGGACATCTTTGTGATGTCTCATAGCAAGGCTTTTTTGCCGAAGAAGCGTAGTCTTTTGCGAGTTCATTAGAAAAGTAATGCAATATTTTGTTCTCATGAGCGTATTTTTCCGTTTGGTTTGATGTGGTTATGTGGGGAAGGTTTTCTATTGTCTTTTTGTTATGTTTGTAATCATAAAATTGTATTCCTGATCAATGATGTTTCTCATTCTATTTCATTAATGAAATATTTATTACTTAAAAAAAAAAAACTATTTTACGATTGTTAGAATTGGACATATGGATTGGTCCATATTTGTCTGCTCAGTCACAAGTAGGTTGTAATTAGCCAGGGAATTGTTGTTTGAACAAGAACCTTAATTATCATCACAAGTACATGCGGAAGATAGTTATATGTTTTTCTGCCAAATTTTGGGAAACTTTGGTTAATTTTGAATGTCAATAATTGAAAATAAGATGGGTCAAAACTCAGCATCACAATTACAAGGAATTATATCTAAGTCATAGCTTGAAAATTCGGGGACACAATTATAGACTAGGAATACATATATGTTCTTGTTTGTTCCTATCCATGCATGAATTATTAGCATTGTTGCTAAATTCAATATGTCTTTTTTTTTTTATAGGCATACTAATTTTTCCAAGTAGTACATTATAGAAAATTAGAAAAAGTGGTAAAGAAAAGAGATAAAAAAATGCATAGATTTGCGATTAGTCAAGTTGATTAGAATAGTGGGCTTCATCTTTTGAACTCAAATTCGAATACTCATTCTCGTAATTTGATGGTTTTATTACTACTTATGCTATTTTTTTATATAATAAAATAAAAAGTTTACAAAACTTAAAAAGAGACTGCGATATGAGCACTCACAACTTGGAAAATGCGCAGTGGGACAATGGAAAGGTGAAAACTACACTAAAAATATGAAAACAACTGGTTGATAGGGACAATGCTGCCATATATATTCCTGAGCATTGATCGGGCAGGTGCGCGCTGATAACAACAAAGGTAAGACGTGCCCAGAATATCATGAATATTTTAGCTTATAAGTTAAAACAATAATATACAATTTCGTTTGCAAAAACCAAAAATAAAAGGAATCAGGCGTGACTGATAAAAATAATGAGAACATCCTTGAATTAGGGGAGATGCGTACGTGAAATCAAAGCCAATATTCTCCCATCATTTTTATTGTCCCTGCAAATACGTGTAGCTAGCTAGATGGCATTGTCATGTTAATTTGTTTCCCCTTCAAAAAATGTAAGACTAACTTGTTTTGAGTTATTTCAAGATCGTAATAATCACAGTTAAGAGAATCAAGGTATAAGCTAAAATCGAAATACGAGATCTTAACACGTATGTCTAGCAGTATACTGGAAACGTACGTACTATCAACATGATACTTTTCGAGGAGAGTCGACGTTGATATTTAAGCATTCACCCAAAACGAAAAGGAAAATTAGGAAAAAGATTGCCATACTTATAATTATGTCAACTTTGATTAGCCAAACCTTTTCTTTATACAAATAACTTAAACCTCTAGCTATTACAAACTGCATGCTGCCTAACATTTCGTATAATTTGTTGGTCCATATTTTTTCATTTGCCAAAACTACCGACATGATTTTCGTGTTAATTCTGGTCAGACATAAACTATTGAGGTACAGTAACTTTGAAGTAAAAGGGAGTAATTAGTGCTTGGAGCCCTGGGCTTTCCAATGAAGTTTTGCTACTCACCTAATTACATTTCTGGTTCTCCCTTGGCTTTTAATTCAAGACTATTGCTGAAGATTACATCTACAATTCAGAATGATCAGCTAGCTAGGAAGAAGCTTTCTCTTGTCAAAAGTTTTTTTTTGCATGTTAGGTTATAGATGCACAACTAAAACCAAGTTATGGTGTCGGATTTTCAATCTAAACCGCACATTCAAATAAAATTTTGCATGATCAATTATTAAAACACCATAACTAATTTCTGTTAAATTTGAACTCATAACATCATTTGTCACTGTATATCGTATACCTTTAGGGAGGAAGATAAAAATCAATAGAAAAGCAAGCAACCAATTTGTATTTTTATGATTCATGTCGGTATGCACTAAGGTGTATGGTATAGAGGGGTAAAATTTGAATGAAGAGAATAGAAAGGGTTGAGAAAGCAATGACGAAAATATGTGAGTTTAGTAAAAAAAAATTTGCTGTTTTAAGAAGAGGAATGATGCAGAATGTATGGCGTCATGAATAAATCTTATGGATATGTGGCTGGCAGCCCCCCATCATGACCACAATCCCACCCCTTTGTGCTGCACGCGCAACACCAAACTCAACACACTATCTCAAAGCCCACACCACACCACTCTCTTTCTTCTGCACGCAATCTTCTTCTTCTTCTTCTTCTCTCTCTCTCTCTCAACAAGTCTTCCTTTTAACTTCAACTTGGGAGGATTAACTCATATCCTTTTTGAAAAAAAATTGTTATTCACACTTCAAAAATTTAATAGTGCATTTCAAACTTTATGTATTTAAAAAGAAAAATACTTTTATAAAGAATGCATGATTAAATTTTTGGAGTGCTAATAATAATTTCCTTTTGAAAAACTTAGGTAATTTGAAGGGACAAAGAAGGGCATTTTGAAAGCCTTTACCCACAGTCCTTATTTGGTCCCCCTAACCCACCATTTTTAAAATCTTGTATAACCTAATCCCACATTCCTTCAACGGTTTTTCTTATTTATCTATATACTAAATGCATACAATGTTCCTTTCGCAATAACGAATCACAAAATTGGCACATGAGAAAGTTGTGCTTATATTGTCTCTGAACTTAGAATTAAGTTCTCTAGGTTAAACTTTGCATTACAGGTTTGGATTTATAATTAAGAAAATCAAAACATACAGGTATCGTGCCATATGAGCACATAAAACATAAGGAGAAGATACAAATACAATCATAAAAAATATACGTTAGCTTATACAAAAGTTTCTTTCTCTTCGTCCTCAGCCCAAATCAATGAAATCATGGATTTACAACATCTCCAACTCTATATAATTGGTCCCACGCAGCGGCCTCATGCACCCCTAGACAGCCACCATGAACGACCCTACAAAGCGACACATCATCTAGCTTGTGTCCCAACTCCTTGGCACAATTGGTCCCACCCCTCCCCTCGGGCCTCCATGTATTTCAGTTTGAAGACACGTTAGCCCTACGAGCCCCTCCATGGTTGCACCATTTGCAATTGTTGGGATGAAACTAATCATTGAGAATGAACGAGAGGGAGGGCTTAATTATCTAGCCGTCATGTCATGACTGATGAGTCATATGCCATACTTTCACGCGCACATTACATATTTACACACATGTATTAATTGGAATTCCAATGTTCGGTTTGTATGAACGATAACTAGTCTCTCGGCGGGCACTAGTGCGGATAGAATTTTCATACCATATATGTACATAGTACTTCCTATGCCGCGCATACTTTGCCACGAATGAACCTTGTTTAACTGTTATAGCTAGTATTGGGCGACAT